AATTGAAATATTATATCACTTAACGAATATATTCATATTAACTAATACTGACAAATAACGGTATTACTACTAGCCCTCGGCCAGGGCAGTCGGCGACTGCCCGTTCCACGCCCCGCGCGCCTCTCAAGGCCCCCGCACACATCCAGACACCCACACATAGCCGCAAGCGATTTTACGTGCACACATGCTTAAGTGTCGTTTCTTTTCGCGTAGTGTATATTATATTCTTTGGCGCAAGGCAGGATTATAATGCGTGATCGTTATTCGTGGCGTTAAGACATGTGTCAATAATTCACTTCTAGCGATCGAATCATTCTAGTATATATAGTCACGCGTACTGGTACATTCGGATCGATCATTGAAATGGATCATTTCAGGCTCAGTACAATGTGAATCTATAAGATCTATAGGGAACCGAAAATTTTCTATTGGAGATTTGTAATAGCGCCATCTACTACATGCTATAGGTAATAAAGTCACTTTATCGAACTAAAACTTATTGACTTTCAAGGTGATAAGTACAATCGACGATAGATGGCATAAACACAAAAACCTCAAATTATCATATATTCGATAAATTTAAAAATAGGGATAGTGATTGTAACATTTTTTTGCTACAAAATTAAACTTTTACCTTAAATGATGTTTTTAACTCATAGATGTAACCAATAAATATAATAAAATGTAAAATAATTTTTAATTTTGGTAACAATATTATAATAAAAAACCCTTAAATAATAAATACTCCTGATACTCTGCAGTCTGCATTGTTAATTCGATTCGCCTGTTTATTCAGATCATTCGGGATTCGATCGGTTTGCGGCTCATTCACAATTCAAATAAATCGCGGGTTAAAAAGGTTTTCAAAAACAAATGAATGAACCATCAATACTTTTAAGTATACCAGCCCAAACGAACGAAGCATGCATGATTGTCACATGTCTGGTGACGTTAAACACTTTTTTTTTTTTGCGCCCGAAGCAATTAAAGGGCTACCCTATACGTAGGGAGGCGGAAAATGCATTACGCATACCACGATAGCCGGTCTATCGTGGTTATGAGGGGCTCACTGTCCTACTGTGATACCCTCTAAAAACCGCCTTTGGGGACAGGCAACCGGCTGATTAAGCTCTATTGTGCCTTATCATGAGCGACCCTCTTTTGGGAAAAGAGGGCGCAGGCGGCTAAGTGCCGCTGAGGGAGTGCCTACGAAGGCAAATTAATGTTAGATATTACAATAATTTTATTTAATTAGAGTTGGCCTGAGCCGCCAGGAGACAGTTCAGGTCGTTTGAAAGTTTATTAGGTCGGCAGGCCGAGAGAGAGTTTCTCGGCCTGCCGACACGATAGCGAGAGGGGTGTGGGGCTGCATAAGAAGCTGCCTCACGAATTAAATGGTTTGGGTGCGACTCTGAGGCTTTGAAGAAGTTCTCAGAGAGTTTTTTAAGAAATTGTTGAATTGTTGGGAGCTCTAAGTCCCGATGAAGGTCGGCATTACGGACACCACGGTGCGTTCGCAGCTCGATGACAGAAGAGGTTCTGAACTATTTGGAGTTCATTTAAAATGTTAGGGTTTGCGTGGGCAAAGACGGGGCCCGCGTAGGACATGACTGGTCGTATACATACCTTGTAGAGTGTACGCTTGTTTCGAAGGGACATTTTACTGTGTCGGCCCGACATACTGTTGAGCCTACTCAGATAAAACCGTGCGTGACGGGTTACACTTTTGACGTGGGGCTTGAAAGTGAGCCCTGTGTCTAGAGTGACACCTAAATATTTGGCGGACGTATGCCAGGGGACATATGAATATAATGTCAGAGTCAACAGACCCTAGCATACGTATTGGTGGAGTGTTTTTGAGACGGCGTCGTTTATAATCGAAGTGGACGGCGGAGCTCTTCTCCGAGTTCACATCGATGCGCCATTTTTTGAACCAAGCTCCTAGGTCATCAACTGACTTTTGGATCTTGTTCCGTATAAGGGGTAGTGAGACACCTTTGCAGTAGATGGCATTGTCATCTGCAAAGAGGGAAAGTTGAACACCTTTCGACGGGATGGGAATGTCGTTGCTGAACAGGATGTACAGCAGAGGAGCAAGTACTGAGCCCTGAGGGACACCAGCCTTGATAGTTCGCTGTGAAGAAAGCGTGCCTTCGTGTCTGAAACGAAAGGTACGATGTTTTAAATAGGAGGCCACGAGACGAACTAGACGATCGGGGAGACCTATTTTATAGAGCTTGTAGATGAGGCCTGTGTGCCAGACTCTATCGAAAGCTTTGGCTATATCGAAAAAGACCGCGATGGTCTTATGACGACGAGGATAGAAACCGCTGAGGATATATTCCACAATGCGGTGAACTTGTTGGCGACATGAGTGTTTGGCTCGGAAGCCGAATTGATGGGGAATGATAAGAGGGTCGCCGTCTGTGGGAAACAGATAGCGCCTCATACGAATTTGAATGACTCTTTCGAAGAGCTTGCCCATTGCCTTGAGGAGGCTAATGGGGCGATGGCTGGAGGGGGAGGTTGAGAGGCTTGCCTGGCTTGGGAATTCCAATCACAGTAGCCTCTTTCCACGTAGTGGGAAAATAACTAAGGTTGAAGCAGGCGTTGAAGATAATAGATAAAATGGTTAACACCTGCTCGGGAAAGTGTTTTAGGGCTTGGTTGGAGATGCCATCCGCGCCCGGAGCCTTTTTAGGCTTAAGTCCTTTGATGAGGGATGAAATCTCATCATTGGACACAGAGATAGGTTCGGAGGCCGTGGGGGGTGAGTTCCGGCGGCGGACCTCATCCTCCACTGCCTGGACGTGTGAGGGGTCGACGGGTTGAGAACTGGGAGAGCATTGAGCGGCAATGCTATCTGCAAAGCACTCAGCCTTTTCCTCGTCCTCGAAGGCAACCGTGCCGTCGGGACGGGAGAGAGGGGGAGTGTGGGTGATAGCGTCTATGCGGAGGGCTCTAGCCATCTGATAGTACGCTGTGTGAGATGGAGAGATATTCTCCATGAGCTTACTCTTTTCGAGGTCTCGAAATACAGAGAGGCGGAAGCGGAGTTCTCGTTGAAGACGATTGGCCGCGCGCCTATATTCGGGGGTGGGATATTTTGCTGCTCTCCGGAAAGCAGCTTTTTTGGCTTTTAATAGGTTGCTAATATGTAGGGGAAGCCCACTATTGTTAGCAACCGGGACGACCCTTTCGTTCTCCTTAAGGGAGGATTTAATAAGGGTGGAGAGTGAGTCGACCGCGGTGTCGATTTTTTCGGGACTATCTAAGTCCGACGGTAGGGAGATGGTAGAGTCCTGTGAGTCCAAAGCTTTAGCTAGGGACTCCTTGAATCCCTTCCAGTTAGTGAAGGTTTTCGTGTGTGTTGGGGGAGGTGGCTGATGGCCAAGAATGAGGGAGACCGGTCGGTGATCTGATCCTAGATCGTCTAGTGTCTCGATTGCTCTGAGGTTGAGAGAAACTCCTTGGAGTAACGCAAAATCTAACACATCGGGGGCGTGATCGGTGTTATCGGGAAAGTGAGTAACACCGAGAGGACTATGGACGGTAATATCAAGAGACTGCGTGATATCGAGCAGTATCTTGCCACTAGGGGACGTAGTGCGGCATGTCCATTCAGTATGCTTGGAGTTAAAATCTCCAAACATAATGACTGAATTGCCTAAAGATAAAATGGCCTCAAAATCCTTTTTTGAGGGGATAGGTTCCTGAAGGGATGTAACAGGAGGCTATGAGGATGGACTGATGTCCAGTCATAGCTAGCCTGCATACCGTGGCTTCCATGTTGGTAAGCTGCGGAGTAGAAATGGGCGAGCAATGAAGTGTCTTCTTGTAATAGATGGCCGTTCCGCCGCCTCGGCGGTCGGGTCTGTCGTTACGAAGAAGAGAGAAGACGTTAAACACTCTATTCCCTGACTTTTATAATGCAAAGCCGTGTCTACACGATCAGCCGTCGCACTTACGATGTCGTACTTTACGACGACTAGACCAACAAGACAGTTAGTTTATATGCAAATATCAGAATTATATTTTGAAAATATCACGCCAGTCATATATACAAGACATACAACACAAATTCTGTCAGAAGCCTTTAACCAAATCGGTCAAAAAGATATCACAATTTATGTATTCTTTACGTATTACTTTAACATAGAGTAATAACATACACATATATTATTTATGCGTCTACATGATAATAATAACTAAAAAGTGTAAAAGTGACAATTTTCCCAGGATAATAGCGTCAAGGACGTCGTAATGTATTTTACTATAGCAACAGATGATGTCATAAGTGCGGAGCGACATCTCGATAACATCACATACGATCAACCCTCTTTATAAAACAATGCTGTCATAAAGCTTTACGGTTAAAGCCGTTTAACCTTATCTGTGCACTGAATACACATTTCTATCAAAACAAATTTGAATATTTGCAACTCAATTTTAACCATTCGCTAACGAATTTGACATACAACAATGTCGTTTCCCATTTAAATAATACTAGTTTTTACAGATTTTTATCGCGTATGATAACTTTTTTATATACCCGACGTTTCGAGCACTTTATAGCACCCATGGTCACATGGGCCATGGGTGCTGTAAGAGATAGATAAATAATCTAGATCTTTCCTGACAATTTAAAAATGGTCATTTATGTCTTAAAATTTCAAATAAATACCTAACGACCTTTTTTATGAGACCCTTTTTTACTGGAAAGAAGGCATTCCATCTTAGTCCTCAGGGGTAACAACGCATCTGCGTTTTGATTCTTAATCGAAGATAAATGTATGTCTGTGGGCCACAGCATCCACTTACCGTCAGGTGGACTGTGTGCTCGTTTGGCACCCTTATTTTATATAAAATAACTCCTTGAGCTCAATAGAAGCCAGTTATTTCGATATTACAGTCAGACACATCAATTTATATGTATATCTATACATATATTATTTATATGTAGGTATATGTATAGATAGGCAACTATCTACACGACTAACCTTGTAAATACGCGCAACTGTCAACCACACTCCTTAGCACCGAGTTGTCGACGAATTCGCAGCAATTCATTCTCAGATGTGTTAATTCCGAGCAGTTGTCTCTCAGGAAACTGCAAATTGATTAAAAACACGTATATTTTAACATGTATACGATAAATAACGTTTCTTCTCAGTCATAAAAATCGATATCCATTTAAGAAATGCTTATAGTTGCTCTATTCTTCACTAAATGAAAATAGATAGAGACAGGTAATAATTAATAATATCAACGATTACTTATAATTAAAATTGTTTATTCATACAACTAATAACTGTAAACCAGGTGGGAATCTTTTACCAGTGGGAATTACTCGCAGCTGCGTTATGTTTTTGTTTTTTATTATGATAGTAATTTGTAAACCGTGAAGTGGCAACGTCAGAAAATCCACTAGCCTTTATCATCCAGTGAGTTTCGTAAGCGACGACAGGGAGAAACACAACTGGTAAAATAAAAAGAAATTGTAAAACCGACTTCAATATAAATAAAACTAGCTTGTCAGGCAGACGTTGTTCTACCCTTTTCGACGACAATCTGTCATGTCCTATTAAAAATCCTTAAGTTCGCAACAAAAAATTGTGGGCAAAAAAACTATCCTATCTCTCAAGTTGGACCAAACTGCCCTCGGTGTGCAAATTTGATTAAAATCGGTTAAGTAGTTTAGGAGTCCATCGCGGACAAACGAAGTAGTCGAAGTCAATTAAATATGTATTATTAAGGATAACTCAAAAACAACTGGTCAGGTCTTGATTTAAATTATATGGGACCATATGATAAGCACCAGCTTTTCAATAAAATAAGAATTATTAAAATCCAATAGAAAAAAAGTTATGAGGTAATAAACATTAAAAACATATTGTCGAATTGAATACCTCCTCCTTTTCTTGAAGTAGGTTAAAGATAGAAAATGTGCAACATATCTTCGTTTTAAATGAAAAGCGCGGGAAGCGTTGCAGGAAAATTAATAAATCTTTGTTTTTTTTTAATATTGAGCAATTGGCTTATGGAGTTTTATTTTTAAATAAATTTGCTTTTTAGAAACATAACACGGGTGCGTTCCATTTTTAAATTTCGAGCATCTCAAAACTTATTGAGTGACCTACGTATAGGTTGAAATGGACGTATAGATGGAATATTTCGTTTTATTGTATTCTGCAAACAATAAAACTAAACATCAAACGTCAAAACAAGGCAAACCATGATTCTCACCATAGTTATACAATTGCACTGCTGCAATGTAACACTATCTTTTTATATGATTGAAGGAATTGAACAATAATACGTGTATGTGAGTCATCCTGGCGCAACAATTGAATATCACAATAAAAACCTTGCTGGAAAAATGATATTGACATTCAAAGAATGCCTGTCCAACAACCATTAACATGTTTGATTTTATTTTGTAATCACAGTATCTACGATTACAAAGCCATTATACTAACAATTTAAAATGTAACAAAATTATCAATTATCTATGACAACCTTGTACAATTAACCTATTATAATCACTCAATGTTTCCTAACTTTGATTCGGTAGTAGACCCAAAACTATGCTTTTTAAAAATCCTCAAATAGTATTAAGATTCAAGAAAAAGGATTATATGAGGGACTGTTTTCTTAAAAATTATAACCTTTATAAAATTTTAGAAAGGTTTTGAAAGAAAGATTTTCTACAAAATTGTGTAATCTTATCATTGTATCTTAACAAAATTTGTGTATCACCCGACTGCGTGACGCCTAGGAGGGTAATGTGTTTATCAGCCTATAGAGTATGTATGTACGTATACATGTATGTACATATTATATTTGGTCTTTTATGGCGCCCTAGAGGCCAAACGCGTGGGTCGATTTTGATGATTCTGACTTCAATCGTTTTGTGTAAACATAGTGTGTCACTAAAGACATAACAGTAATCAAAATTCCATTTCGCGACAACCAATAGTCATATTGTGAAAAAGAAAAAAGTTAAGCCGACGAAGTACGTCAAGTAGGGTATCATTGAATAGGTCTTCGAAAATCATCTTTAGATTTCTGTCATCATTGTACATTTCTAATGACCATTTAAGATCTATAAAATGTTATGATATAGTTATTACACAACTGTATAATAGGTATTATTAATAAATTTATAACGCAGTTGGGTTTTTAACGTTGTACTTATTCAAACATTTTTTAAAGAGAGAAGGGCAAAAACAACCGTTATTTAATTGTTTTGTAGCAATAATAAATAATAATTAGACGTAAGACCTTGGAAACTATTGTTTTGGATATGTTTCCGTATAAAGCAACTCACTTGACAACGTAATGGGGCTGTATCATGCGATGACTTCCGCACCAAGACAAATCGAGCTTCTGAAGGAATTTGCAACGCGTCCCCAAAGTTGACAGCACCTGCAAATTGACCAAAAATAAATATTTGTACGCATAGTTCTTACACAAGAGTTGAAACGATGACAAAAAGAAAATTGTTTATACGAATAGGTCTTCAACAAAATTTAAGATATCTTTTATCATAAGCCAATGCCTGAAACTATCCCAACCAGGTAGTAAGTTTGCGTAGTTTGAGATTTATTAATAAAGATTTCAATTGCATTGTGGGAATAATTATCGGAAGCGGTTTTACTGAACCTATGTGAATTAGAAACCGCCGAGAAAAATGTCTACTCCTTTCTAAAAAGCCGGCAAAACACGTTGAACAAATGAATATGTAATAGTATAATAATAAAATAAAATTATGTGTATAAACAGCACTTTATTTTATTTTATTACGCGGAATTTTTCAAATTAGTTTTTAACATGTTTTATATACATTAATTTCCGCAAAATAACACCAGAATCAGGTGTAGGTTAATTAAATGAATATGGTACAGATGCTCATAACGACGACTACATGCTCCTTTTTCTTTGTTAATGAATTTATTGTTTTTGTACTCAATAATATAAAAAACCTTGCTAATAAAATAAAAATTTGAATATCGTTTATTTCCTTACATAAACAGTGTTATATGTGTTTTATATAACCGAAGCCTGTTATAATTAAAATTGTTTAAATATTACGCTTAATTAAACACCACCGAGATCATGTAGTAGCGGTGTATAAATAATATTTTTTTTTATATATGTATATAAGAGGAGGCAAACAAGCATGCGGCCCACCTGATGGTAAGTGACTACCGCCGCCCATGAACGTCTGCAACATCAGGGGAATAGCAGATGCGATGCCAGGCTTTTAAAAAAGAGTAGGCCTAAATTGTATCGGTGCGGGAAAATCGCTGGTGGTAGTCGATTTCACAAGGAAGCTGTGCGAGAAAGAAAATTTCTTATAAATCGCACAGTAGTGGTCCAGAGGGAAATAAACCAGGGGCAGCAGCATCTTCCTGTTGCGTTATGCAAATATGGGAATAATATGAGATAGGGTTAAAAGAAAAAATGAGAAAATAAGCACTTCGCTCTCTGTCTGTTTTTACAAAGTAAAAAATTATGATCATTGTAATACAGCTATAATCTTTGAATAGAAAAACAGTTAAATTACGGCACGTAATATACGTTCCCTTCCCTTCAAACCTTCCCTCCCCCAAATATTGACACAAAGAACGGCCCAAAACCACCTGCATCAAACGACTACCTTGGTGTTTCATCAGGTCGTCACTTCTTCTAGTGGGCGATCCGCCCAACACTGCGACTGCCGAGGCTCGAGAACGTCACTTTCCCATCGGTAGCCTGTTCTTCGAGCTATATGGTCGGTTCCTCCAAAAAAATCCACTCAGAAATGAGAAAAGGCCTGTGCATATCAGTGAGACACATGTAAGCCGTAACTCTTATTCTTCTGCGCATATCTTTGTTACGGATTTTATCCAAAGGTGAAATTCCAAACATAGACCTTTCCATCAGACGTTGAGTGTTCTCATACGGCGAGCAACAAAGAACCACGTTTGAGTTCTGTAAGTCACCACTGACAACACGCACTGATTGAATACTTTCATCTTAATATTCAAAGGAATTTTCTTCTCTTCAAAGAATTCCGAGGAAGATTAGTCACAAATTATACGGTTTAATATTCCTTGGTCGAAGTTAGACTTACCTAATCGGAAATTTTGTCAACAACTTCGAGCGTAGTGTTCCAACTACCGGTATATGTGGAAGTAGCAAGGAAGTTAAGACCTCATTTTTCTAGTCTATGTTCATTTTAAGACCTAGAAAAACTACTGGGGTCCTTGAGTTTGCTCAATTATTGCTAAGGTCCTTCTTATTTAAAGATAGATTTCCAGACATTTTCCATAATCAACTCTACTTACGGATAGAGACGGGTTAATGCATACTCCCGATGCTAATTGCGAACTGATATTCTTTTAATAGGTGTGAGATTGTAAAATAGTTTTTCAAATAGTACACACCTGTGAGCGAACGCAGTGCCAGTAGGGTCTGAGGTCGATGCACCGGTACAGGATCGCGTCCAGAGCTAGCCTACTAAAGTGACGGCTCACTTGAGCGCAGCGACTTAAAGACTGCATATCCAAGAACTTCATGATTGCAAGAATAGTTTCATCCTGGAAAATTAATGATCATTAGCACTTAGCTTAACTAATTTCCATTTGCAGGTGAAAGCTCTACAAATTCAAACATTCAAATAAAATAATATAAGTTATATGTAGAATCTTAAAATATACGATATTTCAATCATATTTAAAAATATAATTTAATTCTCAAAATTATTCGAAAATAAACATTATATGGAAAGTAATAGAGCAAATTGCATTTACTTGAAATTATTATTTACATTAAACAGTCATTAATTTTATGACGTCCAAAACTACTTGTTTTATTTTGATAGTACAGTCTAAAGATATGCAAATTACGCTAAACTTAATAGGTACTTATGGTAACAAAAAGTTAAAAAATTAAAAGTTTTATGTTTTATGATTAAAAATTATATGTTTTCTATCTATTTGTGCCATACTGACAGATACTATAAGTAATTAAAATCATAACGTATATAACATAATGAAATAAAATTCATCGATATATTAATTGACTGAAGCTATAATATTTTCCTAATACGACGTCTTGTCATGTCATATCCACAGAACGCAAGCTTGTTTTTACATAATTCAGCAAGTGTAGCATGTAACACTATATTTTGCTAATTAATTAAACACCATTCAAAAACTAAAAATCAAATTAAAACAGTTACTATAATTGATACCTAGGTTTTAAATCAAAATTAAAATTATAATTGATCACAATGGCACAGCTTTACATCCTTTAAATTTTGATATAGTTATTATTGACTAAACGCTGATTCAAAAATTACGTGTAATAAACCGAAACAAGGTCATAACATTCGTGGAAGTAAATGAGATTAGATTATACTGCCAAACATTAACAGTACACTTAGAATCTAAATTCTACATGAAAATAGTGATTGATATTTGTAAATTTTAATACAATAAACAAGTAAACAAAAACACTAACTGTATACATCAGGCCTATTTCTTCATATTGAAGAAAGATGCCTGATAATATAATATAAAGCCAGAAAGATACAAGGAGTTCAAAAAGATATACTGATATTTAGAATAAGTTACGCCAGGTAGTATAATAGTATTTATAGTATAGATTTTGTAATGTACGAGGGGCGTTCAATGTATTCTAGGTATGGGTATGTTAAAAAAAGATAATTATAAATTATTTTTATTCTTTCAATAGTCCCCCATGACATATATACATTTACTTGTTTGTGAAAAAAGCTTTTCTATTCCCTTGAATAAATATTCTTCGTCTTGGCCTGAATATTGCTCATTTACAATGGACTTGAGCTCATTGTCGTCAGCAAATCGCTTTCCCCGAAGGTCTTTTTAAGTTTGGTAATAAAAAGTAGTCACTAGGGGGCTAGATCGGGGTATATGGTGGGTGGTTAATTTCCTCAAACTCGTAGCCTCGTACAGCAGCATTGGAGAGCCACGCCGTGTGAACCGTTGCGTTGTCATGAAGAAGCTGCACTCTATTGGTCAGCCTTCTTCTTCTCTTTTCTTTTATTGCTTCTCTCAAATGGCGTAAAGTGGCCAAGTATTTGTTTGCGTTGATGGTTTCACTTTTTTTTTGTATACTCGATCAATAGTATTCGATTGGATTGGATTTGGAATCTCAAAACGTTGAACTTCTTGGGGGGGGGGGGGGGTCTGATCTCTTTTTATGCCATTGAATAGACTCCTGTTTACTCTCAGGATCATAATGGTGAACCCACGTTTCATCTCCTGTAACTATCCTATCGAAAACACTTGTTGGGTCGTCATCAAATACCTCTAAAAACTCTACAACAGCCAACTCGCGCCTGCTTTTGAAGCACAGTTAGCATTCGCGGCACCCATCTTGCACTGACTTTTGTGAGATTAAGATAGTCATGCAATATGGTGTGTATGGTACCAAAAGATAGGTTAGTCATTTCTGCTAACGTCTTAATTCTTACTCGAGCATCTTCTGATACAAGTTTTGCAATAATTTTCAGTTTTTTTTTCTGTAGTTGCTGCCATTGGCCCACTTGCACGGGGGTTATCTTCCATGCATTTCCTCCACCTCTTTTGAATTCACTTGACCACTTCTGTACGATTGATATTGAAGGAGCAGTCTCGGTAAACGGTTTTCACATTTGCTTCTGTTGCCGCTGTGAATAGCCCACTTGGACGGGGGTCATCTTCAATGCTTATCCTGCCTCTTTTTACCACTTCTGAACGGTTAATATTTAAGAAGCAGGGTCTTGGTAAACCGCCACCATTTCTTCATGGACAGTTTTTGATTTTGTCCTTGTTTAGTGAGTAATTTTAATCACATCATGGCGTTCAATTTTTTCAACATTGTCGAGTCGGTCATTTTCGTAGTCTATGACTGAAAGTTACATAAGATGTAATGGAGTTATCAAGACAAAATTTCATATTTATATCGTAAGGTAGTGCCGTTAGCTAATGAATTTTTTAAATTAGTCACATTAACAGCAAATTACCCTAATACCGAGAATTCAACCCCACTCGAATGCGCCTTAGTAACCTTATTTTTAATTAAAAAAACATAATTGTTTGCCTATTCCATCAAGATTGACATGTTTGGAACATTTTTACATATTATGTAATACATATATCAAGCCTCTATATTATGTGGGACAATAGAGATATTGTTTAAGAGATTAGTCGAAAGATACACATGGTCTATAGTTTCTGACGCATAATTATCAAAATTGGATGTGGTTATTTCGTTAAAAACCAAACCTAATACAATATGTAATTGAGGTAACAATAGAACCTGTAAGAGGTCGTATAGATATTAAGAGAAAAAATCTACTATTTTTTTAGGATAAGGGTGGCAAATGAGCACACAGTCCACCTGATAGTAAGTGGTTGCTGTGGCCGATAGACATCTACATCTATCCTCGATTACAAATCAAAATGCGGAAGCGTTGTCATCCGTGAGAACTAAGATGGAATGCCTCGCTTCCACTTTTAACAGTGGTAGAGCCACGCGGCAGCTTTGCTGTTGCACGTATGGGCCGGCTCAAACCGGGGTGGTACCACGACCTCACGGAATACCGGCGTGAAGTGGAAGCTCTGCTTCCGCGTTTCGTCTGGTGAGTGCCGGTGGCCGGAGGCCAAAATCCCCCCCCATCAACATGGTAGCGGAATTAAATAATGATCGACTACCCCAGGAGGGTACCAGCACCCCTGGAGAATCCCTCGCTGAGCATCCACGACCATGTTTCTCCACTTCTGAGCGTGGGTGCTCAGGCTGCCCCGCGTATTCTGGGGGGGGGGGGGGCAAAATTCCGCTCAAGACTACAACTGCTCGGGGCAAACGGAGCAACAAGACCAAGGCGACCCCTGCCACGCTGTCCGTGAATTTCTGCAATATCAGGGGACTTCACTCTAACCTAAACGCCGTCCACTACCATCTCGAGACGGCGAGGCCGGCTCTGCTCTTTCTGACCGAGACGCAGGTGTCCTCTCCGGCTGATGTCTCGTATCTCTCCTACCCGGGGTACAAACTGGAACACTCCTTTGTGCCTCGGGCTGGAGTTTGCGTTTACGTCAGAGAGGACATCTGCTCTCGACGCCTCGGCAGACTTGAAGGTTCGGACCTGTCCATCCTTTGGCTACGCGTAGACAGCGACGACCATCCGCTCGTCTACGGGTGCCTCTATAGGTCCCATAGCGGTAATGCCGAAACAGACCGACTATTCGACCACGTCCAAATGGCTGCAGATTCGTTGCTACAGCAGATCCCCTCCGCAGAGATCGTGATCCTCGGCGACTTTAACGCCCATCACGCCGAATGGCTTGGTTCACGTTTAACCGATCATGCGGGGAGATCTGTTCATGATTTTGCCTTGGCATATGGTCTGACACAATTGGTTACTTCGCCTACGCGGATTCCAGATGTGGAGGATCATGCACCTTCCCTGTTGGACCTTCTGCTGACCTCTCACCCGGACGGATATCAGATATCCGTCGACGCCCCCTTTAGGCTCCTCGGACCATTGTCTTGTCCGGAGTGTGGTGCCACTCACGCTGAAATCGCGGTTGCATTCTGCAGGCTGCCGCCGTGTTTGGCACTATAGGTCAGCCGATTGGGATGGGATGCGGTCTTTCTTTGCATCCTACCCTTGGGGGCGGGTTTGCTTCTCGCCGGATGATCCCAACGTTGTTGCGGATTCTGTCGCTGATGTGGTACTTCAGGGCATGGAACTTTTTATTCCTTCCTCTGTGGTGCCCATTGGAGGCAAGTCTCAGCCATGGTTTGGTCGCTCCTGTAAAATAGCATCATGCTATAAGCAGGAGTGTTACCAAGCCTGGGCTGATGCATCAGCGTCCCGGGATGTAAACACCAGCGCTCTAAAAAAGAAGTATAATTCCGCCTCTAGGTCCTTCAAAAGAGTCATTGCCAAGGCAAAGTCAGAGCACATAGGCAGAATTGGCGAGAAACTAGTTCGCCTTCCTTCTGGAACCCGTGCATTCTGGTCTCTCGCCAAGGCTGTCCAGGGGAATTTCTGTCAGCCATCTCTTCCATCTCTGCACAGGGAGGACGACTCACTGGCCCATACCGCAAAGGAGAAAGCCGATCTTCTAGGCTCTTTCTTTGCGTCTAACTCGACTCTCGATGACGGGGGGAGTACTCCGCCGACCATCCCGCGGTGTGAGTGCTCCATGCCGGAAGTGCACTTCACACAGCGCTCGGTTCGCAAAGCACTCCTCTCCCTGGACATCCACAAGTCGAGTGGGCCTGACGGAATCCCCCCAATTGTGCTGAGGACGTGTGCTCCAGAGTTGGCACCGGTTTTAACGCGTCTTTTCCGGTACTCCTACTCCCTAGGCGTAGTCCCAAAATCATGGAAGACGGCTTACGTCCACCCGATCCCTAAAAAAGGCGACCGCTCTGACCCGTCCAACTACCGGCCAATCGCCATCACCTCCTTGTTCTCCAAAACAATGGAGTCCATTGTAAACTGCCAGCTCATGAGGTACCTTGAAGATCACCAGCTGATTAGTGACCGCCAATACGGTTT